TATCCTGCCACTTTGCTGAAGTTGTTTATCAGCTGTAGGAGTTCCCCGGTAGAGTTTTTCGGGTCACTTATGTAGACTATCATATCATCTGCAAATAGTGAGAGCTTGACTTCTTCCTTTCCGATTTGTATTCCCTTGATCTCCTTTTGTTGTCTTACTGCTCTAGCTAGAACTTCAAGGACAAAATTGAAGAGGTTTGGAGAGAGTGGACAGCCTTGTCTTGTCCCTGATTTTAGAGGAATTGCATTGGGTTTCTCTCCATTTAATTTGATGTTGGCTTTTGGCTTGCTGTATATTTTTTTTTATTATGTTGAGGTATGTTCCTGTTATCCCCGATTTCTCCAAGACCTTTATCATGAAGGGGTGTTGGATTTTGTCAAAGCCTTTTTTGGTGTCTAGTGATATGATCATGTGGTTTTTTCCTCAGTCTGTTTATATGGTGGATTACATTGATGGATTTTCGTATGTTGAACCATCCTTGCATCCCTGGGATGAAGCCTATTTGATCTGGATGGATGATTTTTCTGATGTGTTCTTGGATTCGATTTGCCAATATTTTATTGAGAATTTTTGCAACAATGCTCATGAGGGATATTGGTCTGTAGTTCTCTTTCTTAGTTGTGTTTTTGTGTGGCTTGGGTATCAAGCTTATTGTGGCCTCATAAAAAGAGTTTGGTAATGACCCTTAATTGAGTGTGTTCTTATTCTGTCTTCTTCCCATCTCTTCTTCCAGTGGGTGCAGGTGGGTTCTCTTGTCTCCTCTTGCCACCCAGTGGTGTATGTGGGCCAAGACTTCAATGTCTGCAATTATGGATGGTCTTGCCTCTCCTGGTAGTCTCCTCACTCAGGAGTGGTCAGGCCAGTGGAGCGGGGAGAGTAAGGTATTTCCAGACTTGGGGAGGTACTCCCTCAGGAGAGTTCAGGTTGGTGGATGGGGAAGGAAGAGTGAGGTATTTCCAGACTCAGGGAGGTTCTTCCTGTCTGGGCTGGTCCCCTCTAAGCAGATGCAGGCCCATAGAGATCCTGTGGTTGTGTAGCCCTTGGGCAGGAGTAGGGCAGGAGCAGAGCGTACATTCACCTCAGGAGAGGTCGGGCCGGCAGACGGGGAAAGAAGGGTAAGGTATTTCCAGACTCAGGGAGGTTCTCCCTGTCTGGGCAGGTCCACTCTATGCAGGTGCAGGCCTAGAGAGATCCTGGGGTGATGATTACCTCAGGAGAGGTCGGGTTGGTGGAGGGGGAAGGAAGAGTTCCCATCCAAATCTTGAACTCGTCTGAAAGAGATTCCCAAGTCTGAATACCTCCTTCCAAACACAACCCTAAACAATTGAAAACTAACCCTAAACAGGTGTAAATCATCCCTAAGTATCAACAGTAGGGAAAGGAGGCATGGTATTTTCAGAAATACTTCCTGCTGAAATGGGACGAAGATAACCTCATGGGGTCAAGTAGGAAGAAAATGTTAGAGTAGTGGAAGTCTTGAATGAACTAGTTACAACATTTGTACCCAGTCTCTGTTGGCAGGAGATGCTTGATTGAAGTTCTTGATTGAAGTTCTTATCTTGATTGAAATTCTTATTTTGATTGAAGTTCTCATTTTTAATGAAGTTTTTATCTGAAGCTCTAGCCAGGGTGTAATAAGAAGGTGCACCATATCAGCTAGCTAGCCTGGAATTGTCTAGAGCAATGTAGTCCCAAACCGGTTTTAGAATGATGATTGCCAGTTCAAATGCATCAAGTTGGATCCAGTGGAATCGATGAAGTGGGGCCCCATTTTCTTTCCAGAGAGTTCAAAAGTTGCTGTTAGGAAATTCTTTATTTACTGTGGGGGACTTAAACATTAATGTCATCACAGAAGTTTCAAATTTTATAGGTATGCATACCAGGAAGGTCAGCAATAGGGAAGATAATAATTATGAGGGAAATTAGACTTTCAGAGAAAGAACCAAGTATAGACAAATGACAGTCCCTGGATTTTGTCTTCTGTCTTACATCAATTGTCTTACATAATACCTTCTGTATTATATCAATTTTATTTTAACAACATGCTTGGATTTAGAGGAGGAAAGCCAAATCCAACTCCAAAGCCAGCATTGGCTTAAGTGAATTGGGACTAACAGAGTACTAGGAAGTAAACAGAAATAGTTTCTTGTAGAGTTTACCACATGATAGATTACCCTTTATTTGATGGTTCTCTTTGGATAGTTATCATCTCTTCTTTAGGTATCTACACGTTCAGTGTCTTCTTGCTTTTTGGAGATGGTTTTCCTGTTAAGACAAGAACAAAGCACTCCCCTTTCCTTTGTGATGTTTTCATGCAATTCGTGGATGACCTGTCATTTCTCCTCATCTAGAGGTTTCTCCTGTTTGACCTAAACTTGATCAACTTTGATGGTATCCAAAGCTTTTCTTTTCCTGTGGAAACGAAGGCAAAACCCCTTCCCCAATGTAACACATGTCCTAGTTTCCATACTGAGGTCAATACATCTTTGAAGTACAATGGTTGATTTAGCTCAGAAGTTTTTATTTTTCTATTTTCCAGTGTCTTTCTGCAGCTGTTTGTCTTTTCTCATTAACATTAAGAAAGTTTGATGTTAGTAAAGCATTATGTAATCTGTGTTTGGGGTTCTTTGTTTCCCCTGCCTATTTATAGACCATTTCCTTTAAAGTGTGATTAGATCTCTCAACCACTGCTTGTCCTGTGGGATTGTGTGGTATACCAGTTATGTGCTTTATGTTATAATATTTGAAAAACTGTTCTGATTTGCTGGAGACATATGCTGGAGCATTGTCAGTTGTTATTTGTGCAGGTATACCCATAATGGCCATTACCTCTAACAGGTGTGTTAAAACAGAATTGGCCTTTTCCAAGCTAAGAGCAGTGGCCCATTGAAACCCTGAAAATGTGTCCATAGTATGGTGCACGTATTTTACATTTCCAAATTCTGGGAAGTGAAAGACATCCGTTTGCCAAATTTCATTCCTATGCATACCTTTGGGATTAGTGACTGCTGGTAATGGAGCTTGGGTGTAATGAACAGGTAGGACAGTTTCTTACTATCTCCGTGGCTTGTTTCCAAGTGATGGAAAAATCCTTTTTTAGACATTTGCTATTCACATGTTTTTTTAAAAATGAAATTCTGAGGCTTCTAGCACATTCCCTATTAATAAACGATCGATCTCATCATTAGCTTGTGCTAAAGGACCTGGCAGACCCATATGGGATCTGATGTGTGATATCTATATCTATATTTTTATCTATATCTATCTATCCTATTCCTGCTATTTTCTTGTAATTGTATAAACAATGAAGTTAATTCCGTATTGTCAGGAATAAATTCAGTGGTCTCAATGTGTAAAATGACTCTCTCTGCATATTGAGAGTCAGTAACTATATTGAGAGGCTCTGTAAAATCCATAAGTACCATGAGAATTATGTATAATTCTGCCTGTTGTACAGAGTTATAAGAACTTTGAACTACTTTACTTATATCTCCTGATTTGTTTGCATCAGTGTAGAATATAGGGACTTTCGAGGTTGGTGTTTTTCTTACAATACGTGGAAGGATCCAAATTGTCTTCTTTATGAATTTAATTCTTTCAGTTTTGGGATAATTGTTGCTAATTGTTCCCAAAAAGTTACTACATGCCTTCTGCCAGTATTCATTATCCTTCCATAAGGAAGAAATTTCTTCATTAGTTAAAGGTACTATAATTTCTGCCGGGTCCTTTCCAGGTAGTTGACGAAGCCTTAATTTGCCTTTTAAAATCAAATAAGAGATCTTTTCTATATATATTTTTAGTTTTTTATTCTGTTTATGTGGTAGAAATATCCATTCTAATATAATATCTTCACTATGCATCAGAATCCCTGAGGGGTATTCTCTAGATGATAAAATAACCAGAATACAGTCTAGTTCTGGATCCACATGGTACACATGTGCTTCTAGTATTCTTTTTGTACCCTTTCTAATTCTTTTTCAGCTTCAGCTGATAATATTCATGGACTATTTAAGTCTTTGTCCCCTTTTAGGGCCATTTTTAAATGTTTCAAATCATGCCCTTCTACTCCAATAATTGTCTGTAGTTGAGAAATCTCTCCCATAATTTTTGAAGATCATTAAAAGTCTGGTAACGATCTCTCCTAATCTGTACTTTTTGTGGTCTTATTTTTTGTAGACCTGTTTTATAACCTAAATAATTGATAGAATCTCCTCTTTGTATTTTTTGGGGCAATCTGTAATCCCCAGAGAGGTAAAATTTCCTTTACTGCCTCAAATATCTTTTCCAATGTTCCTTCCTTAGAATCAGCCAACAATATGTCATAAATATATGGTAAATTATGGATTGTGGAAATTGTTTACAAATTATTTCCAAAGGTTTTTGCACAAAATATTGGCACAGGGTGGGACTATTTAACATTCCCTGTGATAAGACCTTCCATTGATATCTCTTAACCAGCTGAGAATTATTATTATTATTTTTTTGAAATGTTTAATTACTTTTATTGAAAACTGCACTGAACGCTAAATGTCCACCTTTACAATAAACAAATACAGTAACGGTAACTCACACTAAAAAAAAACACTTCTGATAGCTATTATTTTTCTGTTTGCGGCAGTTTAAAGCTTTTCTTTTGTCACAAAAACAGGAATGTACCTATACAAAGGCTCAAAATAGGCCATCTTTAGAAACAAAAGTCAACGATTCACAAAAGACTATGAATAGAACATGTAACTAGCTGAAACAAATCTAATAGGATTTGTTAAAATCAGTCACATCTAATAGCACATCTGAAGTGTTCTTGTATAAAATATCACGTGAAGAAAAGAGTTTATCAATGTCTAAAAAAGTGGGTTTGTTCATAGACAATCTGACAAGTTACCATAAAAAGTGTTTCCTGAGACATAAGGAAATGCAACATTATTCTTCTTGAACCCTTCTTGTCCAAGACTTTCCACTCAATAAAATAGCTGAGGACCTGAAACGTCTAGCTTCAGCTTGGGAAGGATGTGCCACTGTGGGGAGGTTGTGAGTCACCGGGATGCCTCCTGGGATGATCCCTTCCATAGCTGCAGGAAGCCCTCCTGGAGCCATCCCAACAATGCCTGGGGGATACCTGTATGTGGCACCGTTGAGCTCGGGATGAATTGCTTGCTGGTCGATGACTGACCACGGAGCTGAAGTAACGAAGAATTCTTTCTTTGTTGACACAGTTTCGCAGGCTTTCTGGGATGCGACCTGTGATTGCTCGGCGGATCTCAGTGGCAGCTGCTGCTTCCCTCATCTGTAGTGATGCTTGTTCACTGTACCAGGCTGTGTGCAGTGTGCAGATGAGATTTGGTGCATCTTTCAATGGGCCCTGAGCAAAGCTGAAGGGTTCAGACTTGTGCACATCGAGAGCTGCTCCTCGTATCCTTCCCTCTTTGAGGGCCTGAGCTAGGGCTTTCTCATCTACCAGACTGCGTTCACAAGGAATGCTCCTTGCCTCATTTGCTTGATAGTGAAGTCGTTGATGAGGTGGTGGTTATGCTCATTCCGATTGCAGTACAGGGAGACACAGTTACTCTGATACAGCAGGTCTTGCAGGATGTAGACCCTTTGCACGCCCAGAGACCGCTCTATCCCATCCTGTAAGTAGGGGTCATAAAATATGACGCTGAATCCAAAGGCCTTGGCTCGAACTGCAATTGCCTGCCCCGTGCGACCAAAACCGATGAGACCCAGTGTTTCCCCTCGGATCCGAGCAGCTCCTGATGCAACCTCACGGATCTGTTCCACGCTCTGAACCCATGTGCCTTCTCGTAGGTCCTGGGACAGCCACGTGTTCCGCCGATACAGACTGAGGATGTGGCAGACAGTGGAATCGGCTGTCTCCTCCACTGCAGCAGATGGGATGTTGCAAACAGCAATCCTGAGCTCACCAGCAGCCTTGATGTCCACGTTGTCATAGCCACTGCCAATTCTCACGTTCACACGAAGAGCCTTGAACTTCTCCAGGTCTTCCCTGGTGAGGGTGATAGTGTGGTACATCATGGCACCCACAGCCTCATTCAACACCTTCTCATGGATTTCCTGAGTGGACTGTGCATCACAGAAGGCCACAGTGGCCAGATCCTTCAGGATGGGCATTTCCACGGTACAGTCTCTGCCATCGAGCAGTGCCACTAGGGGGCGGGGATGCAGGGGGCCGTTCATGATCTGAGGGCGGATACCTTCACAAATTCTGTCCAATCGCTGTCGCTTGACTCTGTGCTTATCCACAAGGGCCATTCTTTATCGAACTTTGCAACTCTCTGATTCAAAAGGCAAAGCAGTCCGCTAAGAACTTAGGGGAACTCTCGCACGAGTTTGTGTGCATTGCGCCACTATGAACCTGATATAAACACGTCCACAAATTCTACAGCTCACTCCATGGGCTGTCTTGTCTTTTTAAGCGGGTGCAGTTTCATCGGATCACAACCATTTAAGGTGATGGAACCCTCGTCTTGGGTCGCCCGCGTCCACAGAGAACCGGGGGGGCGGTGTTGGGGGGTGGCCGTGGCTCCCGCCCTTCCCACCCCACCTGGCCCCAGCTGCGGTGGTGGCTGGTGGCGCTGGCGGTGAGGCCCTCCCTCAGCGCAGCATGGCTCCCAGCTCAGTCTCCTGCTCCTTGGCCGCCAGGAGCCACTGAGAATTATTATAAGTAGGCACTGTGCAGGCAAATTTTTCCCTATCTTTTTCTTGTAACGGTATAGTGAAGAAGCAACCTTTTAGATCAAAGACTATAATGGGCCATCTTTTAGGTATCAGAAAAGGCAATGGCATCCCAGGCTACAGAGAGCCCATCAGCTGAATTACTTTATTGTTGGCTCTCAGGTCTGTAAGCATTCTCCGTTTACTAGATTTCTTTTAGATAACAAATACAGGAGAATTCCAAGGGCTAGTAGATTCTTCCATATGTCCAGCATCTAGCTGTTCCTGAACCAGCTTTTTATAAAGCCTCTACCTTCTCAGAGGTCATAGGCCATTGCCCTACCCAGACAGGTTCATCTGATAACCATTTTAAGGATAGGGCTTTTGGTTCCTCTGTAGGTTTGGCACTTATATTCTGTTTATGTAGTCTGGATGGTTGGTATCTGTTTTCTGTAGTGCCTTAAAATATTTTTTCTATCATCAACAGCTTGTTTATGATTTATATCTGGTACTGAAGGAATGTTAATCTGGGTATTCCATTGTTGCAAATAGATCACGACTCCAGAGATTTATTGTGATGTCTGCGACATATGGCTTCAGTCTTCCTCTTTGCCCCTCTGGTCCTATACACTCAACCCATCTCGTGCTCTGTTTTACCTGAGATAAGGTTCCAATCCCTAGGAATTGAACATTTGGCTCTTGTAGGGGCCATCTTGGAGGCCAAGATTTTTGAGTTATGATGGTTACATCAGCACCAATGTCTACTAAGCCAATAATCACTTTATTATTTACTTTTACTTTTAATTTAGGCTTCTTATCCTTTATAGAAGTTTGCCAAAATATAAGTTTTTTGTTTCTTCCAGTTATGTTTGATTCCTCCTTAGTAGCTAATCTACCACACAGAGCGGTATCATTATTTACAATAGGCAGTGGATTTTCTAATCATCCTGGGAGAGATTGTCCTCCACAGTGACTGGGAATGACCAGACCACTTTTCACCTGGGGGCCTTCAAGATCCCCCTTAAGGAGTTTCCTGATTGTGAAGGGTTTCCTTGTATGTCTCTGGTTGATCTACATTCATTGGTCCAGTATCTGCCTTTATCACACCTTCTACATAACCCAGAAGGCTGAAGCCTTCTGTTTGAGACATTTTTAGGGGAAGCATTATCTCTAGGAATGCTTTGTCTACAATTTCTTCTAAGATGTCCCATTCTGCCACAGTTAAAACATCTGGTATTTTGATGTCTTTTTTTATTTTTTATTTTTATGTTTTTGGTTTTTCGAGACAGGGTTTCTCTGTGTAGCTTCGGACCCTATCCTGGCACTCTCTCTGGAGACCAGGCTGGCCTCGAACTCACAGAGATCCACCTGCCTCTGCCTTCCGAGTGCTGGGATTAAAGGTGTGTGCCACCAACACCCGGCTTTGATGTCTTTAAACCTTTGGAGATCGCTCCTCTTAGGAAAGCTTCTGTGTCACTACAGTTAGGGCATTTAGCCTCTTTGTTTCATTTTAGACCTTTGGAGATTGCTTCTCCTACCCAAGTTTCTGTGTCAGAATCATCAGCAGGACCCATTTATCCAGTGGTGCTGATGTAATCTTTAAAGGCCAAAGCACGCTTTTGCATTGTGGATTCACATTCTCATAAGCTAGAGATTCTATGAGCATCCTCCTAGATACTGAATCTGTTATCTGTAACTGTACTGCTCTGGGCAATCCTTGTAAAAATTCAATGAACTGTTCTCTTGGTCACTTTGGTATAGGGTACTATTCTCCCTCCTGGATCATGAACCTTGTCCCAAGTGTTCATGACTGCTGTATGGCATAAGGTCAAGTTTTTTTTTTTTTTCATCATATACAGCTTGAACCTTGGGGTCAGCATAAGGACCCTTACCAAGAATCTTATCTTTGGGAGCTTGTAACCTTTCTTGAAGCCCCGAAGCTCGAGAGCTTTTGCTCCTTCCCTCCATAAAGTCCTCCATTGTGTTTGAGACAAATCTTCTAGTACAGCTGATACTGAGTCCCGTCCCTGGGGTTCACTCTATTTGACTTTGCCCATGAGTCTTGTGTATCTGCTATGCATGCCATAAGAGACAACAGCCTCTTCGAAACCATTAAGATCTTTCATTTTATTGGCTCCCATCAATATTCAACATAGCCATTTGGTTTTTTGTTGTTGTTGTTGGTGCTGGTTTGCCAGGCATAGTCACTGGGAAAACCATGGGTGAGGGCATAACAACCTTAGGGAGGTCTTCCTGGCGCCTGAAAGGTGTAGGTAATTTTAAACCTTTTTCATATTCAATTGTTTGTATCTCTGATTGTGATGTATCAGATTGAAGGTCTTCTAAGGCCAGTAATATATTTACCAGTGTTTCTGAGTGTTTGTACTTCCTGGATCATATACATTTCTAAGGATTTCATAGAATCGGTAATTATTTTTTGTTTTCTTCATTCACATATGTTTCTAAACATTTAATATTCTCATCCTTAGTGTCTGAATGGCATGTAAATTGCCTTTCAGAAACCATGTTTTATCTGATAGCTGGTGAGTATCCTCCAACATGGAACAAGTTCTATCTGTCAGTTTTCCAATTTGAAATTCCAGTCTTTGGTTTTTACTAATAGGTTCATCAGACATGGAACGAGTCATTTCTGCTAATCTGTTAATGCTAACTTGCATTTCTTCCGTGCTGGTCGTTTATTTAGCAGACATGGAGCAAATTCTCTCTTCGAGTTGGCCATGATTACATTCAATTTCGTTTGTTAAATCATTAAATCATTCAACATTCTCCACCCTTCTAGTTAATTGTTCTATGTCCCCTATTTTGGTGATCAATTTCCCGTTATGTTTTTCAATATTCTGAATTCTCCTCTCTAATTTATCAATAATTTGCACAAATTCCTTGTTTTTTGCTTTATTTTCAAATCCTCTCTTCAGGAATATTACATTGATTATAACGCTGATTGTATGTATGTATGTATGTATGTATGTATGTATGTATGTATATTTATTCCGGGCAAGTCATAAACCTCCTCTAGCATCCCATCCACATAAGTAACAAAAAGATCCCTAACATTCTGCATCGAAAGATTATCTGCCATTGTATAGAATAATTCTGAAGAAATTACCTGAATTTCCCAGGATTCTGGGCTGTGGTGTGGATTTTAGTTGCAGTAACTATGTTTGGCCAGCAGGTGGCGCAGGTGTACTGCCAAACACGGTTCAGCCAAGTATGGTTGACCCATCACAATGGAATTTGAAGAATTTCCAAGTGGCTTTTACATAAGGATTTTGTTAAATGGGGGTGGGAAACAAGCAGGGCACTAGCCAGCTGCAGAGGCTGCAGTCTCCCGTGGCGGTGTCAGGAGTGCAGAGCCTCTGCCTGTGCCCAGGAGGGAGGCGCCACAGACCCGGTTCTGGGCCGGCAGGTCTACAGCTGTAAAGGGACTCAGCTGAGCCTGTGACACCCTAGTGGCCGTGGTGAGAAACAGCTGAGCGGCGGCAGTGTGGCTCCTGCAGCACAGGTTGGAGGAAAGTGGTTGGAGCTGAGGCGTGAGCAGGAAAATAGCGCTGTGACTTCTCAAGGATGCAGTGGCGGAGGGTGCCGCTGTGGAGGGGACCGCGGGAACGGGGGGTTTGCTGCTGCACGGTGTCTGGCCCCTCCGTGGGCTGTGCTCATTGGTCGGCCCCCGCCGCTGTGGGGGGCGGCCCGGGTGGGGACCAGCCATGTGCTGACGGAGGGGTGGAAATTCCACTTGTGACACCAGCTCAAAAGGAAATTGAACCGCACACTGGATCAGGGGTATAGTTGGCTATTTATTATGGGAAATCACTCACAAGAGAAGCCGGTGACCCAGGTTAGCCTCTGCAGCCTCCCGAGACCCGACCAGAATCCAAAAGAGAAAGTGTGTCCCTAAGCATTTCGGTCAGATCTGATGGCACAGGTACCCTGGAGCTCCGGAGCCAAGGAATGCCACAGGTCACAGTAAGCACAGCAGCTTCCAGTCCTGTTTCAGAGCTGGGGGCTTCCCAGCTCTGCTCCGGGGGAAAAGGGTTTTCTCAGCAGCAAAGTAGTTACAGTTCAGCTCCCGTCCCCCAGAGAGCGGAGAGTGGGGAGCAGAGAGGGAAGAACAGAGAGCCAGAGGAGCTGGGAGAGGGGGAGTGGAGCGTGGAGAGCAGAGGGGAGAGAGCCAGGGGAGTTAAGAGCAGATAGCGCCAGGGCAGAGAGCTGCTAGAGCTGAGGGCCGCAGAGAGGACAGTGGAGAGCAGAATGTAGCAACTCTGTTGTTGCGGAAAGTTTCTCCTGACAGAAGTGTTACAACGTTGCAAGCATTGTTCTGCTGCTCCTCTCTGCCACCCCTGCCCGATGCTCCGCCACAAAAGAAGGTCTTCACCCAAAGTTCCTTCAAAGGTTTTATTGGAAGCATTCCAGAGAGTGGCTGCCCTCTGCCACCATCTGAACAGACAGAGGGTTAATATAGGGATTCTTAGGGGGCCGGAGTTTTTCCAGGGGGCGGGGATTGGTCAGATTTCAATCCCTGAACTCTGATTGGCTAGGTCTCCTGCTCAGGGATGGGTTAGTTTTCTGCATAGATTTACGGTCAGATTGGGCTCTGGTTTCTGGGCCAAAGTGTGTTTCTTTCACTGGTCCTTTTTAGCTTTTTGGCTCTTGTTTTAGGGCCAGGGTGTATTTCTTTCACTGACTCTGATTGTAGGGACAAAGTGTGTTTCTTTGGC